CGCCTCCAGTCTATGGTACGTTCTAATGGCAGTCCTGGCACACCGACACCTTCCCTCTCCTGTCCCTTTCACGGCTGGGATGGTCACTTTTCTTCCTATAAACATCTACCTTCTCTCTTTGTCTCTAATCCTTGCTTCTCTGATTTTCAGAGCTACTGTCTGGCTTTTGAAGAACACAAACAATAACTTTTTTTCTCTCTTTTTTTTGCTGTTTCATAAAGCTCAGCTAGGAGATATCAAGAGGAAAAAAAAGAAAATGCCACCAAAACACCCTCCTTCTACTTCCACCTGCCCTCACCGTCAGGATACCTGTGGGCTCCACCAGGATGACGGTGGGTGTGCGCCCCGTGCCAGGGAGAGGGGAAAGTGCAGGCCTGGCAGTCCTCTTTCACTGGGGTTTTGTAGGGTAGAGTGGAAAGGCCGGCTAACTTTAAACAGACAGACAACCTTCACATGGACGTGCCCTGGATGTCCGGTTTGACGCTGTACCTTCTGACTGGTCCACTTTTTGTAAAGAGGAGGCCACTGGGTCTGTTATTGTCCATTGGTTATCTAATGTCCATCTTCAGTGTGATGTCTGTTCTTATTTCAGTTTACTCCACCTACTCCTGGTCCCGTGAAAGTAACTCCTTAACTGACAGGACAGGACTGATAAAAAATGATGCCAATCTTCTGACTGAATAACATGCAGTTTTAATGTTTTTTAAGGTTTTTTTTTTTTTAATATGCAGTTTTAAAAACACCAACCAACCTGATAGAATGAAAGGGGAAATAAATAAGAAATTACCTGTAATTACCCAATAGTCTCTGGTTGTTTCTGATATGTCAAGGTTGGGATATTCTAGTGCTAAAACAAATAAGAAACACACCAAATTAGTTTTGCAGGTTTTATACGTAAATATTGTTAAGGGAAACAGACATAGGTGATAAAAAAATGAAGTAAGTAAATCCTGCTTTATCATACTTAGGAAATCTCTGACATACAGGCTATTCAGAAAACTAAAATACTCAGTAAAGAACTCACTTTCAGATGAAGAGTTTTCTAGGGTTTGTGGATTTCTGCTCATTCAGTTTTTCCATCAAAACCTTCTTAAGTGAAACATCTTCATCATCAAGATCCACAGCTAGAATCTGTCTTAACTACAGCTTTCTCTTTAAAAACTATCCAACCGTCATTACCATTTTTAAAAATCATCTCAAATAAATTTTTCCAATGTCAAGGACTAAGTTTAGCAGCCAAATGCTTGTAACTAATGGTCTAATTCTTCTATAGGTGTAATGACCATCAGAGTTAATACATGTGAAAGGCTTAGCACAGTGCCTGATACACAGTAAGTGTTCAATAAATCTTAGTTGCTGTTATTACCAAAATATCAAGATGAAAGAAACTAGATTCTTCACATGCTGCCATGTGATGTAATGCCATTTTTTATGATATCGTCTTTTCCATAAAATCCAGTTATCTTTCCTTACTACATGGAAATTCACAAAAGCTTGCTGTTAAACAAACATTAAAAAAAATTCTGAGTGGATACTATGTGTCAAGCACAACCACATCATCTCATTTATTTACAATATCAAAAGCAACCATAGAAGGAAACAGAAACAATTACGCTAATATGTGTTTTAAAAAAAACTTGCCCAGTGACTTTGAGAAACAATTCAGTACCAACAGTACCAACAATTAAATGTAAGAGCACAAATCTTTAGTTCCTTTGGCTTTTGAATAAGTGTTTGGGTACCAAACGTAGGCTGTATTGTCTCTGAAGCCTATGCCTGCTGCACGGTAGTGAGGATTACGTAACCGGAGCATTAGAGGAAGAGGAGGCCACAAGAATATGGAGACTTCATCAAGTGAAGTCACAATGCTGACTGCGCATAAGGTGCATTATGATATCTATAGCCAGGGCAAGAACTGAAGGCCCCGGAACGTTTGCTGATGGCAGGAGTGGAGGAAACCAGAGTAACCCAAATTTCCATGAGGACAGATGCCCTACCAGGCAGTATTATAAGCTCAGAGGCAGATTCCTTGGGTTCAAACCCCAGATTCCATGTTTCACTATGTGAGAGTGGGCATTTTATTAAACTTAACAAACTAGTTCTCTCATCTGCAAAATGGTGCTAATTTTGCACCTATAGGAGAGAGTGGTTGTGAGGATTAAATGAGATAGATAAGTGAAGGGAAAAGGCAGCTATTACGTACTTTTTTCCAACATGCAATAAATTAGCCTTCGATTCAGTCCCTATCAGTTGTTTTATGACAAAAGAGTTGACATGTGGCCTTGGACAACAGATGTTTGCAAAATGGAGAAAGGCCCCGAGGAAAAAAGCAGAGTCCCTGTACGCCGTGGACATACTCACGTTCGGCAATGGTGAGCGGCGGGTAGGTGAGGTAGAAGCCCACCAGCTCAGCCGAGAGCTGGCGGAGGAGGCTGCTGGCGACGGTGCCGTTGAGGAAGGAGCTCCGATTGCCCACCACGTACACCAGGGTGACTGTCTGCGAGGCGTTGGACGTGCTCACAATCTGAATCGACACAGGAGGAAAGGGAAGGGAGACATGCCATATAAGATGAGGGTCCGTTTCACGGAGGCCGTGGGAGAAGTCTACGCAGAAGTTCAGGGTAGGAATGAAAGGGAGGTTGGAAAAGAGTGAGGGGGAGACGAGAATAACAACAGCCGTCACTTCCTGATTGTTCGCTACGCGCCAGGCATCGTGCAAAGGGCGCGTGATCTCATTTAATCCTCACCGCAACTCTAGGAGGTGTATCTACTCATGATTCCCTTTTCCAGAGGAGGAAGTTGAGGCCTAGAATGATCGAGGGACTTGCTCGAGGTCACACAGCTAATAAGTGACAGAGCCAGGATTCAGACTCAAGCAGTCTGATTTCGGGGTTCGGACCACTGGAGTGTGTACCTTTTCCAGAGCGAAATTGTCTCGGCTTACTTTTATGGTCCAGAAAACACAAAATAGAGCATGGGAATGTTAAATTTAAGGAGGGCTCAATAGCTCAGACAGAGATGCCAGAGTCAAACTTTTGGGGAATTTTAAAGTAGAAAGGACAGGGAACGTCCACAGCTAATCGTCAACCTAGAAATGGACAGAGGGACTGAACTTGATTACAAAAGGAAGTCAGAAATATCAAACAAACAGCTTCTGTAGAGAGCAATTACATTTCCTTCTGGTCTATGAATTCAATATAGAATATGTAAATATTACTATGAGATGGTGTGGTTTTCTTCTCACATTTTTGTCTAAATCAGTTTTTTAGTTACTGGAAAATGAGATTTTCTGGGTCAATGTATAGACAAAAATATCTCACAGATGAGATCTGAAAAACAGATGCAGTAGAAAGTCTTTCCACTTGGTGAAAGTCTTTGTCTGCTCCTTCCTCCTCCAGATCCACTAGCCAGCCCCCTCTGTGGTCCTGCTCAGTACCCCCAGAGGCAGACCCTTGCCCTCAATGGGCTCCTTGGCCCTCTGGCTTCAGCTAAAGGGGTATCTGGAGGATGTGGAGAGGAGGGGGAGCGTGAGGTCAGAGTACTGGCGTCCCGGCCACCATCCGTGGGGTGGTGCCCAGCAGGAGCTGCCCAGCAGGAGCTCTGGCCTCTGGCTTCCCGCACCTGCCCCCTCACCTCGCCCGCTCTGGCCCAGCTGTTTCAGCCTTGGGTACTGCACTGTCCCTGTGGTTGCCCTAGAGCCCGCCCACGCTTTTACAAAGGGTCCCTTTCACTGGACTTTCCTCTAACTACCTTCCCTTGAGTGTGCCCTCTCTTCCCGCCAGGAGCAGCCTGATGCCCGTCTTTCCCATAGCTTCGTGTGCTCAGACGTAAACATTCCTGCCACTTTCTTTTTAAACCCTACTTTGAGGAAGACTGTTAAGAACAGCTTTCTCACTTTATTTCCCACTTTTTTCTGTAAGTGAAAGTTCCTTTTATTTTTTTTGTCTTTACTGAAATAGATACTTTATTTCCCACTTTTTTCTGTAAGTGAAAGTTCTTTTTATTTTTTTTCGTCTTTACTGAAATAGACAATTAGTTGCTTGTATTTACTGTACAATTCAATGAGATTTTTTTTTTTTCCAATTATAGTTGGCATACAACTTTCAGTTGTAGAAAGTTCCTTTTAAATTCTCTATTAGAGACCCTCGCGTCCCATGATTAATGACATACTGAGTCAATGGTTCCGGTCAGCTTTCACTCTCCTCTCTGTGAGTATTTTTGGAATGTGGTTTAGACACAGGTATTCATGCCTCTTTCCCAAGTTACCACAAAGAAAGGCACTTCTTTCTGAACAATTCAAAACGCCTCGCTGTACTGTCATCTAAAAAAAATAACTTTGCAACCTTCATCTCTATTGTAAACATTCTATTTTTTTGCTTTTCAATGAAACTAAATTTCACTGAGTCCCAAAGACCTTGCAGTATGGGTGCCTCTGTACATACTACCCTTAACCATGTAACTATACTTTTTTTTAAGCTGAGGATCTTTTATTGAGTTTTAATTGACATGTAACATTCTATTAGTTTCATACTTTTTATTGTGGGAAAATACACATAAATTTAACATTTTAACCATTTTAAGTGTACAGTTCAGTAGCATTAAGTACATTCACACTGTTGTGCAACCATCACCATCAAACATCTCCAGGGCTTTTTAATCACCCCAAAATGAAACTCTGTGTCTCTGAAACAATAAGCTCCCATTTCTTCCTCTCCCCAGCCCCTGGCAACCACCATTAATCTAACAAAACTAAATACCTCTTGTAAGTGGAATCATACAGTGTTTGTCCTTTTGTGACTGGCTTATTGCGCTTAGCATAATGTCTTCAAGGTTCATCCATGGTGAACATGTGTTAGAATTTCCTTCTTTTTTAAGGATGAATAACATTCCATTGTATGTATATAGCACATTTATTTATCCATTCACCTCTGGATCTACATTTGGGTTGCTTCCGCCTTTTGGCTGTTGTGAATAACACTGCTGTGAACATGGGTGTACAAATATCTGTTCAAGTCCTTGCTTGCAATTTGATTGGGTATATACCCAGAAATAGAAACACATGGTAATTCTATGTTTAATTTTTTGAGAAACTGCCATGTTTTCCACAGCCGCTTCATCATCTGACATGCCCACCAGCAGTACACAAGGGTTCCAATTTCTCCACATCCTAACCAACACTTGTTATTTTCTATTTTTTAAATAATAGCCATCCTCATAGGTGCGAAGTGGACTCTTGGGGTTTTGATTTGCATATTCTTAATGATTAGTCACGTTGAGCATCTTTTCATGTGTTTATTGGTCATCTGTATATCTTTGGAGAAATGTCTATTCAAGTCCTTTGCCTATTTCTTAATTGAAGTGTTTTTGTTGTTGTTGTTGAGCTGTAGGAGTTCTTTATGTATTCTAGATATTAACCCCTTATCAGATACTATTTAATTTGTTAATATTTCCCCCCATTCCATGGGTTGCCTTTTGATTATATCTTTTGATCCACATAAGTTTTTAATTCTGATGAAATCCAAATTATCTATTTTTTTCTTTTATTGCCTGTGCTTTTGGTGTCACATATAGCAAATCATTACCAAATTCAATGTCATGAAACTTTTCTCTATTTCCTTCTAAGGTTTCCTATAGTTTTAGCTCTTATATTTAGGTCTCTGATCCACTTTGAGTGAATTTATGTATATGGTGTTGGGTAAGAGTCTAATTTCATTATTTTGCTTGTGGACATCCAGTTTTCTCAATATCACTGGTTGAAAAGACTGTCCTTTCTCCATTAGTCTTGGCACCCTTGTCAAAAATCATTTGACCATATATGCAAGGGTTTATTTTCAAGTTTCCTATTCTGTTCCATTGGTCTATATGTATGTCTTTATACCAGTTAAATACTGTTTTGATTATTATAGCTTTGTAGTTAAGTTTTAAAACAGGAAGTGTGAGACTTTCAACTTTGTTCCTCTTCTTAAGATTGTTTCGGATATTCAGGGTCTCTTGAGATTCCATATGAATTTTAGGATGTAGTTTTCTATTTTCGAAAAAAAAAAAGTCACTGGCATTTTGATAGGGATTGCACTGAATCTAGATAGCTCTTGGTAATATTGACATCTTAACAATATTGAGTCTTCTAATTCATGAGCACAGAATGTCTTATCGTTTATTTGTTTATTCTTTAATAGAGTCATTTTTTATAGCTAAAAAAAGTGTGACCATTGTTGGTGGCTGCTTAACATTAGCCTCATAAATAAGAAGAAGTCCACAGGCCTGAGACCAAGGTCACATCGCTTTTCTCTGAAAGTTGTGCCCTGTCCCCCAGTAAGAGCAGCCCCTGAAGGGGCACTTTCCCATCACTTCCTTCCTCTTAGACTCCTGCCGCTTCTGACCTCATCTCTTACTTACCATTCACTCATGTCACAATTCATTGAGTTAATTAGAAACAACGAGCAAGCTGTTGTCTTGCCTTCCTAGCACTCCTTCTCTCTTCTGTGAAAGCACCACAATTTTCCTTGGGGGAAACACCTCTGCTATCAGTTCATGTGCTCTGGGTGAGGCTGCTCCACCCAAGTTCCAGGAGTGGGCATCTAAGCTAGGCTTAGATGATTGGGATGCTTCATGTCCTTGGCCACTGTTACTGGTCCAGAAATGGGCACATGATCCAAGTGGGTCCGATGAGAGCTAATCCCAGGATTTTTACTGGAATGACATGAAAAGGTACTTTGGTTCCACCAAACTATGAACAATAAGGATGAGGCAAACCTGGAGGTGTCAGTGCCTACCCTACAAGGCCTGAGGATGATGGCGGTCCAGAGCAAGGCAAGCCAAGAGATGAAGAAAGAACTACATGAAGAAATCATGTAAGCACCTGATTTGTGCCTAAACTAAATAGCTTTGAACCTTTCGGTTTCATGAATCAGTCACTTCCTCTTTTTGCTTAAGCCTTGTGAGGTTGGATTCTGGCAATTAAACCAAGAAGTCCTAAATGAGTCTACTGTAAGCTAGCCTCTAATATCAATGCTATTACAAGTAAGTAATATGGCACATTTTCGATGACTCTCTGAACAAATTAATTAAACATATGGTCTTATTCCAGAGAATCCGAGGTGCTCTACAAATTATATTTAACACAATAAAATGGAAAGTTATTAATTACAAAGCCTGGTCCTGGAAAAACAAGTTTAAGACAGCTCCAGGGGGACGGTTAGCATACAGTTATCTATGCATGATATAGGGGTCTACAGGGTTAATAAACCAGGCAACAACTTTGTCTCTGGGCTTCCTGTCAGCCAAGGCAAAAAGAGAAATGGGATTAATAATATAATTCATCTAATTATCCATTCACTTCAAGAGCTGTTGATATATTCAAAAGAATCTAAAATGTATGTAGATACAATTTTCAAATTGGCTATTGTAGTTTTTTTCCAAGGAAGGTTTGTTATTTGCTTTGCAAAATTCCATCTCATGTCCCATGGCTATCATACAACAACACAAGAGAGGCTTCTTAAGGCCAGGGCAGCTTTTGTACTTTGGTGTCCCACCCAGTGATAATAAATAGCACGTGCTCAATAAGTTTGTGCTTCCTGAGTACATTGAGAGTGTGTTCTGCTGCCAAGCTCTAACTAGACTTGTGCACCTGTGAGGATCACAATCCAGTCAGAAATAAAAAGACCTCCTACAAAAGAACTGAGTCATACTCCTTACATAAACCTTAAGTCTGTGACACGTTTTTAGTTTTTAGTCTAATATGAACCAAATCATGAGATTCTTCCATATACACTTCGGATGAATCTAGAAAAGGAAAGCTGCTCATTCAAATTAAATTATATACTTTCTACATCATATTAAATGTGCTGATAATTCACTTATGCTAAATGTCAATTTCAAAAGCAGTGGGTTTCATTGCAAAGGCTTTTAGTTGAGTAAAAACAGAGACATTTGATAGTATAGTTAAGAAGATAAATTTGGGAGCTGGATAAACATCACTAAGACGTATCTGTCTGACTTTAGTGGGATGTTATGTATGCAGTTGCAAATAATGAAAAAGGCTTTTGAGGGCATGTCTACTGTAAATCCACAACATTGAAATACAGTATGCCAGGAGGAGAATTTCCCTGGGAAATAATTCATGTGTTTGCCAAAAGTTTCACCCAGGGTTTCATTTCTACACTGTATTGATGCTAGCATAGCATGGTGGATAAGAGAGTGGGCTTTGGCTCAAGTCCTTCTTCCATTCTTTACCAACTGTGTGACCTTCTAGAAGTTTCTTATCTCTTTCTTGGTTCCCTCTTCTGTGAAATGGTGATAATAATATCTCAGAGGATGTCTTGAATCTTATATAGCAAAACATTTGCAAAACAGCACAGTCTTGGCACACAGTAAGCCCTAAATATGTATGTATAAGTGAATTATCAGCACATTTAATATGATGTAGAAAGTATATGTGTGTGTGTGTAAAGTAAGGCGCTTGTTCATGTGGATATCTGAAAAACTGTGAAATGGTGATAATAATATCTCAGAGGATGTCCTGAATCTTATATAGCAAAACATTTGTAAAACAGCAAGGTCTTGCGCTAACTCAATGAAAATCATGGAACAGACAAATCTTAGTGAGTTAGCTATTTAGAAATGATTCATTTTATATGAAATATTTGACATATCTTATATAGTACATTCTAGTTCAATTTTCAAAAATAACAAATGTATTAGGAAGGCCTGAGGAAGCTTCCTATGGGAAAATAAATATAAAATCCCAAACCACAGCAGGTATACAGTGACTGCATCCATACCCTAGACATCCTCACCAATGCCAGGACTCACTTGACTCCATGAACCTAGAGTAGCATCTTCTCACGTCTATATTGCCTGCCCAAAGTTATATTTACCCCAGGTAGCTCTGAAATGGGGACCAAGTTGTTCTTGCCCACATGTGCATTATGGTTGGACTCTGTCAACTACAAGACCCAAGTGCCCTCCTCCTTACCTGAATCGTCAGGTTGCTTTTGGTATTCAGAACCTTCCTCTCGGCATCCTGGAAGGCCTTCTGTAGCCTCTGTTCCATCGTCTGAGCAAACTTGCAGGACTGTATATTGTCAGACTGGGTCACAAATTGAAGCACTAGAATGAGAGCAATAAATCAGCACTCGCCAAAGCTGGATAGCAGTCACAATATAAAACAAAACGATTTTACATCAGAGAAATTAGGCGAGTAAGGACAACAAAGTTTGGTTGTCGTTTTGGAAGTGGCTCTTAAAATGATTTATAACCTAGAAGAATTAAAAGTGTGATTGGACCTGAGATTCACTCCAATGCAAAGGATTTTGTGATTTCATTTGTTTGGAATATGTAGACATCCGCTCTAAGACTGACAAAAAATAACCCAAGACAGATCATGCCTTCCATTTCTTGGGAGGGAAAAAATAATCAATTGACTTGCATGACTAAGTTGATTGAGTCTTTCAATTTCAATGGTGTCTCCACTTTCGTGGTTAACAAACCACTAGATCAGAATCAGTAGGGAGCTTGAAAGAAAAATTCCAAGGCCTAAGCTCAAAAATTCTGATTCAATGGCATCTGGAACGTGTTGCTCCAAAGCATAAATTTTTACAGATACTCATTCTTATCAGTATCCATCAGTAATACAAAAAAAAAAAAAAACATATATAGCACTTGGTGCAGGTAAGTACTAATTACATACATTAGGAAGAAAGATTCCTCTGAAAAAGTACTTCTAATAAATCCAGGAAAAGTTTGGGCTGATGTACAGAGCACTTGGACATTTGATTAGCAGGGCCCTTTGAGGAAGGTACATAGGGACTTTAAGAGATGACAGAGCAGCTAGCTGGCAGTGGAATTTTTAAACAGGTGTCTTATTGGTAACTCTCCGAATCCCAGAACGGATAAGAATCCTTTGCCTCTGAGCTACTTGCCTGTCTTCAGCTGAAAGTAGCCTGCAGGCTGGGGATTCCATGGCGAGGCAAGTACTGCCACAGACTGCAAGTTTGGGGTATGCTGCTTCAGATCCGCAGTGACGTTGCTGACCCCATAAACACCCAGCATTTCGATCACTACGGCAGGCAAGTACACCAGCCTCCCTTTGGTAGCATAATAACCAACTGTGATGTTATGAGAATGTTCCAGAATATCCACCTACAAAACAAATGGACGCACGGAACTCAGTATTTATATCCAGAGTACTTTTAGGTCTTCTTGGTGCTTCTTAAGACCACAGCTATTACTCACCATGGCTGAGGAAAAGGATGTTCTCGTTCAACAAATATTCTAACAATCCTATAAAGCCTGCGTAGAAGGCAAGTCTCAAAATATCAGAATACAACAAAATATAATATTATCTCAAACTCTCATGGAATAGAATTAAATCTGTGTGTGTGTTTTTAATTCCTTAAGTGTTTCAGTATAATCTTGTGAGCACCAATGATCACCCAAGATGGTAGACAGGAGACAGCGGGAGAAAAAGATTTCTAGGGAATGGTATACCGGGAAAATAGCTTCATTATATTTCTCATCATTTACGAAAATTAAAAGGCAGAAATGAGAGATTAAGTGAGGGCACCTTCAGGACAGGGGTCAAACAGAAAATGAGGTGAATTCCTCTCTCTGAAAGCTGAGGGCAGAACTGTTCAGACTTTTCTCCATTCTTGACTTGTAAGTTGGTTCAAGACCACGGGAGGGGTGGGCCATGAAAGTTTCTCTTACAGCTGGGTCCTAATGGATACTGATGATGAGCTCTTTTTGACCCTACTGGAAGATTTTTGAGGCTTTAGGTTTTATTCTTATTTGTTTTTGCTTTCTTAGTGTTTTATATTAACAAGTGAGGGTGTTTTTAATATCCGCTCCTCCCTCCTTATTCTTGCATCTTTATTAGTAGTGTCATGTGTATTTGCGAAAGAAATCAAGACAACTGATTTTGCAACAGGCTGGATGTGCCTTCAGTTCTCTACACTTTGTTTCCAAAGATGGCGGTCAAGATGGCTTTAAGTGGAACGAGAGATACCTCTAGATGCACTAAGCAATACTAGAAAGAGTGATTCCTGTCCAGCCCTGCAAATTAGCTTAAGGACCAAGTCTCAGTTTGGGGATTATTTACTTTTAACACCTCTCCAATTCTTGCTCATTATGTTTTTGCCAACAATGTCTAGCTTGAATTAAACAAGATGTTTCCATTATTCTCATTTTTATGATTACCTTTTCTTTATGGCAAATGATCCTGGTTTCCATTTATGGTGGTAATAGCAAACATCTTTTCAAAAGAAATGCATTCAAATTTTTAAAAATGAACCAATTAAAAAAACTAATACATACTAATTGTCATAGCGGTCTGTGATGACATGCAGAAAAGGCAGAAACTGTGAAGTTCATCTGAAAATGACCAAAGTTTAGTGAAAACTGTATCGGTTAATCAATGAAAACATTCACATCTTCTACTCTCAGTTTCTGGTGCAGAAACCACAGGTGCCTCTGATGGAATGTATTTCTTTCATTTTTTTTCAGAATTATATAAAGAGATTGACAATGACCAATAAACGATATATCAAATCTCATCCTAGTCTTTGGTGTGGTAGTGGGACCACCAAGCCAAATGCAGCTGTAGAACAAAGAATCAAAGAAAGAAGCCAGAACAATATTTTTAAGTGGTGTAAAGGGTTGTCCACTGACTGCCTATCCTATTTACTGCTTTAAAACTTGGAATCAAACCAAAAGCTTGTAAAGCAAGGCTTCTATCACTTGGATATGCCACCGAAATCAGCTTAGTAGTTGTTAAATAGTACCTGATATTAAAGTGTTTGGAGGAAAAAAAAAACAGCATTTACTTCCGTGTCTGCTGCTGGCGATTTGAGCAAAGTTGGACTCAATCTACAAGCTAGAGTAGTTTTTAAATGTCCAGAAATAAATAACTATTCACAATGGTGAGGAACATAAAGGAAAAAGCAATGGATGGTTTCTGTAGAATTACTCTAACAATATGAAATACTTTCTCCAAACAATGGGATAATAGGACAATTTAAAACAGTATATCCAGGCTTAAAACAAACAAACAAACAAAAAAACGAAACATAAGGCAATTAGCCTCAATTTTCCATCTCAATATTTGACCTTTTTCTCCAGCCACCACACATTAACTATTTGCCAAAATGAAGAAAGATGCTACTTCTTGCAAGCATGGTTATGGTACCCAGGGAGGAGAAAAACAATCTAGACAGAGTCTGGACCCAGGAGGAAGACATATGTAGACAGAGTAGTCTGGTTACAAAATAAAGGGCTTACGTAAGCGGAGACGTCATTCTGGTGGAAAGCCTTCCGCAGCGCCTGGGTGAGCCCTTTCGCTACATTGAGCTTCAAGGTTTCACTGATATGCGCTCTCCTCTGGGTCAGAAAGAGAACTGTGGGGCAAAACAGAAGTGCAGTAATCAGGATAAGGCAGCAGACCTCCTTATAAACGAGCCTCCTCTCTTCCCCAGTCAACACCTCCTGCAAGTGCTGAGCGAAGCTGATGAGTGCAGGTTCCAGTGAGAGAGAGCCTTGTAGGTCTGTTGGTCCCGATGAAGGAAAGAAGGCCCTCGGCATTTGTGCGGCCCTAGTGGAGAGACAGCACTTCATTTCTGACCAATGCTACCTCACCCTCGGCATTTGTGCGGCCCTAGTGGAGAGACAGCTAGCACGCGACTGGCACTTCATTTCTGACCAATGCTACCTCCGACTTTGAAAGGTGGGGCTCAGCAGTGCCTGCCTGATGGATCTGCATGCCAGAACTTTCCCACGATAGCACTCCCGAGAGCCTACTTAAGTGCAGGCCCGGAGTTAGGTGCCGTGGCCCCAAATCACCCTGAATCAGGAAGGCAGCCCCACCTCGCCAGTGCGATGGAGACAGGGATGGGGACCTGGGATGAGAATAGGCATTTGGGACTGAATGTGACAGGCGCCATTGGAAGGGAAGCCTAGGGTGCTGTTGGAGGCCCTAGGAGGAGCATCCAGCCCTGACCTGGCCAAGGGCGTGCAGATCAGGGAAGGTTTCCTGAAGGAACTGATGCTTCTGTAGAATCCTAAAGGATAATGGGAGTGAGCCTGGCCGAGGAAGAGTGAGGGGAGGAACTGTCCCCAACCACGCCCGGCAGAGGGAAGACCAAGTGCAAAGGCACAGGGTAGAGAAGTGAAATATCTCAGTATACGTGTGGTCCTGAGGGCAATAGGAAAAGAGGAAGTTTAAGCAAACGGCATGCATTTTAGAAAGCTGCCTTGACTGCAGACTGGAGAACAGGCTGTAGGGTGGGGGGGCGTCTGAAGGCAGAGAGAGAAATCTGGTTGTTGTTGCAGAAATCTAGGTGAGTGATGGTGACAGTGTGAGCTAGGGGAGTGGGGGTGGAGAGAAGGGGTTTTCAGGAGGTAGAACTGAAAGGAGCTGGTGACTGGGTGTGGCTGGGGTGTCGGGTGCTCGGTGAAGAAGAGACGGGGACAATGTTCCAGACTTCTGCATTGCGTGCCTGAGGCTGCCTTGCCGCACAGAGGAGGAGGCAGAGATCTGGAAGGAGAGGGGGAGGGAAAGTGGAAAACCAGATGGTATAATTTCTTGAGATGTAGACAGAGATACTGTACTTTCTGCTATGCCTAGTTTCACGATTTCCCATTTTAGAATAGGCTATGTCTCAAAAGATAACTTCATATAATTTTTTGTGGGGTGAAGAGGAAGGCGGGATGTGAGCATTCAACACTGGCATGCTCTTTCAAATAATGTCTCTAATGCTTTATATAGCAAACACTACCGCACTATTAAAAGGACCCTGTGCCTTCTTGGCCCACTTTGCTGCAGCTGGGAGGTGGAGGCTAAAAAGACAGCATCCACCACCCAACATTTTCAAGAAGGCCTGCCTCCTTTTTAACATCAAAACAAATCCAAGGCGCCCACATAGCGTACCATAGCTGTACTTTTAGTTTCTGCTGATTGAGAAAATAGATGACAAAAAGCCTTAGTGAATTCTGTGGTACTTCCCAGGATTCTGTAGTTTACTAACACATCATTCATCCATGAGAGACATCACTGATTCGCTCTCCAGGCAAAATTTGGTGCACGTTTGCTTTCTCAGACCCCTCACAGAACTCGTTTCCCAGGGCTGATCCCAAGACTAAGATCCACATCACATAATGCTTGTCCTCTCCTCTGTCACTTGATAAAGATCAGGAGTTCTCAGTCCCAGCACTAACATTTGGGGCTGGATTATTCTTTGTCAACCATCCTGTGCATCGTCGGATGTTCAGCAGCACCCCTGGTCTCCATCTCGTTAGATGCCAGTAGCACCCTCCTTACCCTCCAAGTTGCAGACACCCAAAAATGTCTCCAGACCTGGCTAAATGTCCCCTATTGGAGGGGGAGCAAAACTGTCGCCTGGTTGAGAACCACTGATCTGAAAGAAATCTAATTTTTGTTGCATCTTTGAAACCATTATGTGCTTGCTGCTTTCAAGTAAAATCAGGATAGTGGAGCCTTACCTGTCTTCACCAGGAGCTTACTGGACATCTGACACTCCAGGTTGGAAGCCATTTTGCCGGTCGTGACCATAGCTGTCGACACAGCGGGATGAGCAGTATCCGAGTTTTCCGCCGGCAGAGATGGCAGCCGGGTTGCTTTTACTGGTGCAGTAATGGATGTCAAGGCTGCTGTGATTGTCAGCGGGCGTGTGGTGGATGCCCTGGGCATGTCTGGGTTAGTGGGGTTTGGGAAGTTCGTGTGCATGGCTTGTGGTTTCCTGGGGAGGTGTGTTGTGGACAGCAGGCCAGAGGCAGTGCCCGTGTTCCCTTGCACGGCTGTGTGAGTGCTCACGGTGTGTGCCGATCTTGCAAACATGTAGGTTGGTGTGATTGAGAAGACTGGATGGATTGCTCCTGGTGTCACCTTCGGGCCAGATGCTGCGTAGTTTGTGACATTTTTAGCTAGAGCAGTGGTCATACTGCTCTTGACTAATCCTAATGCCAGCGCCGAAGGACTGCTGCTGGTGCCCTTAGCAACCAGGGCTGCAGACAGTGCCTGTGGACTTGGTTTCCTTAGAAACAACGTCACTTCTGCTGCTGCTGCTGCTGCTGCTGCTGCTGCTGCTGCTGCTGCTGCTGCTGCTGTTGGTTCTGCCTTGGACGACACTGAGGAGTCCACTGTAAAGAGAGAAAAAGCAAAGTTTGTCATGGGCCCGCAGTACACACATCACTTGTGGTGATGAATGGATGTAACTTATGGATTTGCTGGGGTGAAAAGTCTCTGCGCTCTGAAATTTAGGCAAAACAGCTTAGGCTCATTAAGTCAATTAACCGTAATGAGCATGCCAGTCATAGCAAAGCTATGGTTGGTAAAAAAGACACTTAAATTCTGAACACTTTCAAAAAACCTCAAGTCAGCAGAGGATCAAGGACATGACTATCTGGGACTGCTAACTCATTTGTCAGCCTGCAAGGGTGTATCTGCTCCTTCTGAGAAAAGCTGGGTGTCTGTGTTGAGCTTGAAGATGCTTTGACCACAGAAGCAGTCATACCTGTTTTCTGGGTACCAGGAAACAAACTACCTGCATTAGTGGCTGCACCTGTCCATTTCTTGGGGCGCTGAGAAGCCAGCAGCACTTTGGAAGGGGTCCTGAATAAGGCACTGGTTGATAGAGGAGATTCATCAGTAGAGTGGTATCTCAGGATACGCTGGAATGGTGCAGAGGCATTTATCACAGGAGATGAATACATGTTGCTGGAAACTTGGAAATTTGTATCCATTCCATCCGAAAGCATTTCCTGCAAGCCAGCTGTGGAAGGCAGACTTGGAGAGGTTAGCAAGACAGAATGCCTTGGACGGGCAGACAGCTGTAGCTGGGGAGACGTGACATGTTGACTTGTGGTTGGGTAATCTTCAACCTCAGCTGTTTGAAACTCTCTGGAATAGTTGTTATTACTGATGGACAAGATGTCTGTATGGTTTCCAACCATCGTAACGTTGGTCAGTTGGATGGGCTGCTTGGTGCTTGTATAAAGCACCGGATCCTGAATGCTAAAGCCTTCTGCAGTTGCTAAATGCCCTGCAGTGTCTTTGAAATCATGAGATTTTATTGTCCTAACAGCTGAAGTGAAACCACTGGGAGCAGTAGATGAAGCTGAATGAATTTTCCAACTTGTGGAGTTAATTGTGTGCCCATTTAGATCATAATTTGTTTGCTGCAGTAAGCCAGATATCGTTGGTTCTGTGGAAAGGGATCCAGTTTCTGCTGAAGGAGAGCTCCAGAAAGCATCTGTGACTGCTGGCTTTTTCACGTTTCCCATTGTTGAGAAATCATAGACTTCCGTGGAGGAGGGAAATGCTGTCACCTGTTTGGAAGCTGAAACCGGCAACTCAGAATGGTCCATCACAGCTGCATAAGTCTCAGACTTGCTCTTGGAAAAGCTGGGAGATGGGGAAACAGTCTGGGTGGCTCGTATGGAGGGGATGGAACGTGGAAGCAATTCTGAAGGAAGGTTTATTCTTGGTGTTGTAATGACAGTGGATGAAGTATGATCAGTGCTAAAGTCAGAGGTGAATCTGTGTACCGTGTGAAGACTTGGAATCTCCTTGCTTGGAAGGGTCTGGAGAGCAACTGTCAAATTTGCCTTTTTGTTCTTCTGCAGGGGAAATGTCCAAGTCGTGGAAAGGAGATTAGGAAATTTGCTTGAGAGGGGGAAGTCTGTAGCTGCAGGAGAGGGTCTATCATGGCCCACTTCCTGAAGAGTTGGCATTTGGGGCCCAGCGGATGGAGAGACATGATTCTGTGCCGGCTGGAAATAAGTAGGCGTGGAGGGAAAGTCTGCTGCTGCTCCATTAGATGGCGATGCAGGAACCGCCCCAGAAAGGATGCCTTGTCCTTGGTGGGCTGTGGTGAGAGGCAGACGAGAAGACACCGAAGAGGAAGATGTGTGTTCTGCTGAGAGGGCGGGCCCTTCGGAATTCTCTGGAGCTGCTGACAAATGCAGTGCGTTAGCAGAGTCATTTGAGTCATTTGCTGTAGTGGGGGCTAACTCTCTGCCGGTCATTTCCACTGCCACTGACTGTGTGATCTGGAAGAGGGGAGGCACAGCCTCATGGATCACTGCTGCTGCTGCCCTCTTCAGAGCCGGCAAAGACACCCCATTGTGCACTCTTTCAGCCACCTCAGCTTCGACTGGCTGGGTAGATGCGGGACTTGAAGCCACTTCCAACCTTGACCATGAGGGAGTACCACCTGGAAGCTGAAGACTTCCAGGTGCTAGGGGAGGAGGAGACAGATGGGCCGGTTCTGCAGTGGAGTTCAAAAACTCAGGTACGGGGGAGCCTACTGAGTGAGGACCCTCCACAGGGGACAGCTCCGAATACCGCTTTGTTGAAGATCCAGAAGAACCTAGGCGAGGGATGTCTATTAAATCCTGAGCATTTTTCAATGGAGTGTGGTTCATTTCATCAGCAAATGCGGTTAGGGAATTAGCTACACTGTGACTTGAAGAGGAGTCAGTTGGAGCTGTTTGGGGGAATACAGGCACTTTGGTGGGTCGCTCAGCGGGCTTAGAAAAGATGATGGAATGAGGTGAGTCAGGAGCCAATGAAGAGGATGGAGATGGGGGAAGAAGTGGGAGGATGTCTGACCTTGGGGAATGTTGTTTTGAAATGGAAGGAGTCCCTACCCATGCTGGCCGAGACGGGAGGGCAGCTCCCCAGGACGTCACTGATGGGACAGTGGAGAACGGGGGGAGCATGCTGGTGTGAGGCAAACCTGACGCGGCGGCTGCTTCTATGTTCCCGTGCGGTCCTGCTGGGACCAGAGACTCGGCGGGATCCTTGGACGGCTCGAGGGAGGTGCCGAGCCCACTCGCTGGGTAAGGGGAAGAAGGGAAGTCCCCATGAGCCCTGGCTCTGCGGTGCGTCTGGGGAGGAGGTGTTCGGGCGAGCTGCAGCACGCTTGTGTTGTCAGGGGATGATGGTCCCAGCACATTCTTGATTCTGTCCACTGCCGAGGAAGACTGGACTTCTGAGAAAGGCCATGTTGGTGAAATCGGTAACAATTTCCCGTGAGGAAATGTCTCTGGGGTTGGGGTGACAGTTATCTGCAGATTGCCTATGCCTGTGGAATAAGATAGTGAGCAGTCAGATATCAGGTGATCATTAAGTGTCTGCCGGGGCAGGTCCTGGAGAGAAGCGGGAGGCAAGACAGACACTGCTCGGACCTCTTCCTTACCATCACAGAAGACTTGTTAAACACATCCAAACAATGAATTAAGTAATTTGAAATATGCAAAGGCTGCAGCTAACCTACAGGGCGGAGTTGGTGAGAAGCAGTCTCTGCGAAGTGACGTTAAAGCAAAGATGTAGGATGTACCCGTGTATTTTAAATCTTTTTTCTGTACCATCTACGAGGGCTGGACTATGAAATTCACAATCTGGAAAATCAAAGAGGGCCGTGGCTACCTGCCATGGTCAACAACACCAAAATAAACTTCATCTAAAAACCCAAAATGCAAAATGAAAGACCGTGTATCCAAATGCTAATCTTTTCTTAGGACCCGAAGGCATCTCGAGCAGGATAAACAGGGGCTGCCTCTGTTTGGAGAGAAGGCACCAAGGAAACATGTTTACCTTGTTGGATTTAAAAAGGTGCCTGACACTATCATTCGTGCCACATCTAAAATGCAAGGTGATTTCTTTCAAATTAGGCTATTTCTAAAAGAAAAATTATTCACATCCAACCCAGGACCAGAGACACCTCTCACAAGGCCTGGTGTCGCTGACAAGCACCTGCAGAGAACCAAGCACTGTCAGCATTAACGTCTGGAACTGCAGGCAGAAAGGCAAGGAGGCGGGACACAAAGTGGTGACCTCCACAGGAAATGAGGCAAGGAAATAGCTGATCAGAAAGTTGGAAATGTCACAGTTGGGAAGAGAAACGACAACTTGCTTGATGATTCTCTGTCCCTCTTTCCATGGTTCTATCATGTTGAAGGTGCTGATGACCCCAGAGGTGGCTAGAAGCTATTGAGTCATATTTTAAATTAAAAATAAAAAAGAAAAGGTACTTCTAGAGCTTTCTACATTATTAGCTAAGAACATCAGAACTGCTTGATAGAAACAAACGCACAAGCCAAGCTCTGAAGCCAGAAAATCTGGGTTTGCGTGCACCCTCCGGCTGCCCGGAGCTCGGTGTGCTATGCGTCTTCGGATCACTGTTGTATAAAGTGGAGGCAATAAACAGGCCAACTCCCCTGCTGGGCCGCTGTCGAGGAGCAAATGAAATCATGGAGGCGGAAGGAAGGGCTCTCCAAATAGAAAAGCACTAAAGAAATGTTAAAAAAAAAAAAAAAAAAGCACTACACCAATGAGATGTCATTACAGGCTCCAAGCCCTGTTTTATTTGTTTAACAAAAGAGGACACTGTAGCCCAGAGAGGGGACACCATTTGCCAGAAGCCACATAACTGATCAGAGATAGAAGCAGGTCCAGACGCAAGGTTTCCTCACTCCCAGGGCAGTGTTTTCTGTTTACACTGCTTTTCTCAAGCCAGTGCCTGGTCTTCATTCTACCCCCACTGCATTCTGCCAACAAAAAACCCAAATAGCTAAACCTGAAGTCTTAAAATACTTGCGTTTTTAGAATATGCAATATACTCTGAAGTCACAAAAGCTAAACAGTGACAGTTTTTGGAATTATTATTTTCAGTTTCATTCTTTGAGGTTGGAAAAGTAACGACAAAGGGTATCTTTTACTCTGAATTAGTTATCATACAAAAAAATTTCCTTTTTCCTTCTTTGTTTTCTTTTTTTTTTTAATTCCCCATTTTGGGGATTTACCCGAGAAACTGGCATTAAGTCATTTTTAAAACATAGCAGGGAGTAAATCAATACTACTTTAAAGTCAATAGACTTGTTCACTTCATTCAGTAAGCTAGAACCAGCCCCTTGTCCCCAGCAAGCCATCCTTAAAGCCCCTCTTAGCTCCTTTGTCTCGGTATCAGCAGAGGACAATCACTAAAGCCCTGACCTGCAGGGCCAAATGCTCCCTTGGGGCCCTGTTATCCAAAACCCACTTTACACAGAAATAAGTGGCAAGATGCATATACAGCTACAGGATGCCAAAATCTAACACAGCATTTCATTAAAATATCTGTGCTCCTTGGGAACTGATTCACGGTTTGTAATAGAAATTGTGTTTCTGTGTTACCACATGCAGCCTAAGAAAGGGTTCGCTCTCAGTTTTATCTGGAAGTTTTACAATTTTACAATTTTTAAAATTTCAGTTTTACAGTTTTACATGGAAGGCTGATATAGCTTTCCTCCATTCTTCCTGTTCATGTTGTTTATCTCCTAGATAGACTCAGCTTCATACTTCCCATGCAGTCTTGTCTGGTTCTGTGTATGGCTGGTTGTTATGCTGGTGACTATAACACCCAGACACAGGCATACCTCAGAGATATTGCAGGTTCGGTTCCAGACCAGCACCATGAAATGAGTATCACAATAAAGCCAGTGGTAATCTTTTTGCTGGTGGAAGGTCTTGCCTTCGGTTTCTAAAAAACGTTAAAATCTATGAAGCTCAATAAAGCAAAGCACAATAAAATGAGGTATGCCTGTATTGTTGTTTTGCATTTTGATGTTTTCCAGTAACACGTTCAAATCCGTTTTTATCACTTGCATGAAATCTATGTGAGATTTCTTCTTTTGTACTCTCATTGAAATAGGTTCAACCATGGGTTCAACTCATGGATTCAAGAGTCATACCCAATTAATCTTGTTTCAAGTAAGGAGCCTTGTAACCCAAAAAGAATGCTACATGCATGGCAGCCTTTGCTTCCAGCAAGATGTTTGACGAACTTACCAAAGTTCTGCAAACAAGTAGAATTGAATGGTGATGGGCATGGGGGGCGGGGGAGGACTTGCGACTGACTAAATGGCCACAGCCTAAAAACACCGATGGAAAGCTCCACGCTGAAGTGAAGAGATGGTCTCTAGTGGATCTGCTGAATCTGGTTGTTTCTAAACCAGAATCTAGCGTTTCCCAAGTTCTCCCTTATGAAACACAGTGTTCCAAGATGCTTCATGAAGAAAAGTTTCCAGAAAAGTTTTGAGAAGTGTTATATACTGCACTCACATGTAATAATCATTAGTGCTGTTCACCAAATATCTCCGGTTCTCTACCTTCACGACACATAGTAGGACTGCACTTCCTGGATCCCTCTGTGGTTAGGTAGGGCCATCTGACTAGTTCTGGTCAATGAGTTGTGACCAGAAGTGACAAGTGTCACTTGTGGGCTAGAACATTTAAAACTTGAAGCAAGAGTACAGAATTTGCTTTCTCTGTAGGAAAAAAAAAAAAAAAATCCCTAACAATATTATTCCTCGATAAGCTATTACTGGAGAAAGAGGAGGAGGAAGGGGAGGAAATTACCAATATTCAAAATGTTTGTTAACCAGCCTGGGTCCCTTAAGGATTATAATAAGCAAAGGGCCTCTGATGTCAAAAGATGTACAGAGAACATGAGCAAGAAATAAGCTTTTGCTGTTTTCAGTCACTGCAATTTGGTGGTGGTTTGCTACTGCAGCATAACTAACTTACCCTAACCTATTCATAAACTGGTATCAGAAGTAGATTTGGAACATATGCGAGCATACCTCCATTTAAATTACACCAACATTTAAATAACACCTCAGAGAAGACCTATAATCAAGAATATATAAGAGTGCCTGGGATGTAGTAAAACCTCAAGAAATGAATGTTGGATGGTTTAATTAAACTTTGGCCAATATTTCTCATATATATTTGAACTCTGGAATATGTTTAGGATGTTTCTCAAAGACAGTTGACCTCAGAACTTCGTGATTTAAAAGAAAAAAAACCAACGATGTACATAAAGCTAAGGAAGAAAGTATGCTCACTGAATTAGCAAATGACACCAAATTTAAAGAATAGCTGACATAAGAAATTTCAGAGAAACACACTTCAAAGACTTATCAACTGACTAAAATTACTGTTAAAGGAAGACATAAGTTAGGATTAAATATAAAAGCTTGCCTGTAGTCCAAATATTGCTCAGACAGAAGCAGGGTGGGAGTTTCCCTTTAAGAATAGCTTTTTGTTGCCTGGAGGCGGAGTTGACTGAGCTCATGAACTAGGTTGGGAATGTAGGCTAACAAAGAAATGACAAATGCTTAGGCCTCATTAAAACTTTTTCACTTCTAAAATTTTTTTAAAAAATCATTCTTAGAAAATAATATCTATGTCTATATGTAAGGTATAAAGAATAAATCATGAAAAAAGCATACATGGTCTATGGCTTCATGGAACTCACGGTCTTATGGGAGGTGTGGACTTAACATTCTCTCAAATGTAAATGTAATAAATGTTACAGCTAAAAGATGCACAGACCTAAAAGGCATGCAATAGGAGGATGTGACCTGATCAGGGAGGTCAGATAATACATCACGGAGGAAGTAACTATCAAGAGATCCAAAGAATAAGTAGAAGTTAATCAAGCGAAGAGAGTAGGGAAAAACATTCCATGTAGAGGGACACACACATATGCAAAGGCCCTGTGGCAAGCAGAAGTACAGGGAATTGAAAGAAGGTAACCAACCATAGCTCGAGTGGGGAAAACATTAACAGGCATGGCGTGAGTTAAGGCTGGAGAGGCAGGTGATGGCCAGACCTTTGGAGTGTCAGAGGTTTTAGTTTGAAGAGGTAGGGGATGGAGGTGATGGTGGGTGATGTATATGAGCAAATTTGTGTTTCAGAACAATTGTTCTGGCTATGGAGTGAAGAACATACTGGAAAAGGGCAAGGGTGGATGACAGGAGAACAGGAAGAAAACACCTGTGGTGGTCTAGGCAGGTATGCCAGGGAATTTGTAAAGAGGAGTTGGGTCCTGGGTGGGAGACTGAAATAGATAATCCTTTGGTCCTTTTCAATTCTCAGAGTTCAGGAAAATGTAGCCCTTTACATAAATAAGTTTGTGTTTATGTATGTGATTTTTTTTTTAATGACTGCAAATTCTCCTATAGGAGAGGTGGGGTCTATGTCTCCTCCCCCGAATCCGTGTGGGCTGGAGACTGTTCAACCAATTAGAGTATGGCAGAA